TCAGCCCCAGCTCGCGCCAGGACCAGCCCAGAATTGTCGGGGGCCTGAGGGTTTGGAGTGAAAACGCAGCAAAAGGCTTGCGGTTCCCGGCCCCGCTGCTGCCGCGTTGCCTGGCAGCCGCCTGGGGTGGCTGCAGCTATTTAAAGGGTTCACGGCTCCGGCCCCTGCCGGGGCAGCGCTGGAACTTGGAGCCTTGAGCCATTTAAACAGGATCCTGGCGCCTGACCCACCGCCTGGGAATTGGGTGGCTGGGGCAGCAGGATATAAGTAGAAAGTGGCCGGATGCTATCCGTGGGCCGGATCGAAGTGTTCGGAGGGCCGGATTTCGAACTGAGCTATTTGGGGATGTCTACACTACAGCGTTATTTCGAAATATCTAATTTCAAATATGCACAAAATGCGTTTCGAAATAGCGTTTTTCTATTTCGAAATAGCACGTCCACACTGGGTGGACGTTGAATCACATTTAAGGCTGGTTGGAACCAGTTCCGGCAGGGCATCAGATCAGAAATTACCTTGAGGCCAGGGCGGCGAGCAGGGCACCCTAGGAAGGGCTGGAGGTCCCCTATTTCGAAATAAGCATCTGCACAGCGCTTATTTCGAAATAGCAATTTCAAAATCGGCGCTATTCCTCGTGGAATGAGGTTTACCAATTTTGAAATAAGCCCTCCGCTATTTCATTTTAAATGTAACACGACTGCCCTATTATGTCCTGTGAGTTTTTAAAAATTAAACTGAACTGAGAAGTAAATTAGCACAATCCGAAGTGCCTGTCCCAGGCTGCAAATATGAGAGGTTCAAAAACAACAAGGGAGAGACTCAGATCTAAGAGTGATTGCTTCAGCCTCGCAAACAATCTAGCCAGCTTTCTATCTACCTTACAGTCCAGTTATCCAATCCATACTCCCTTACCTTGCTGGCAAGAACATTGTGGGAGACCGTATCAAAAGCCTGGCTAAAGTCAAGGTATATCACATCCACTGACTTCCCCACGTCCACAGAGCCAGTTACCTCATCATAGAAGCTAATCAGATTGGTCAGGCACGACTTGCCCTTCATGAATCCATGCTGACTATTCCTAATCCCTTTCCTCTCTTCCAAGTGCTTTAAAATGGATTCCTTGAGGATCCCCTCCATGATTTTTCCAGGGACTGAGTTAAGGCTGACTGGTCTGTAGTTCCTGGATCATCCTTCTTCTCTTTTTTAAAGATGGGCACTACATTTGCCTTTTTCCAATCATCCAGGATCTCTCCCGATTTCCACGAGTTTTCAAAGATAATAGCCAAAGGCTCCACAATGACATTTGCCAACTCCCTTAGTACCCTCGGAGGCATTAAATCTGGGCCCATGGATTTGTCTGTTTAGCTTTTCTACATAGTTCCTAACCTGTTCTTTCCCCACTGAGGGCTGCCCACCTCTTTCCCATACTGCGTTGCCTAGTGCAGTAGTCGGGGAGCTGACGTTGTCGGTGAAGACGGAGGCAAAGAAAGCATTGAGTACTTCAGCTTTTCCCACATCATCTGTCACTAGGTTACCTCCCTCATCCAGTAAGGGCCCCACATCCTCTCTGATCACCCTCTTATTGCTAATACGCCTGTAGAAACCTTTCTTGTTACCCTTTACATCCCTTGCCAGCTGCAATTCCAGTTGCGCTTTTGCCTTCCTGATAACTCCCCTGCACTCTTGAGCAGGGTATATTTGTACTCCTCCGCCCTAGTCACCAAGTTTCCACTTGTAAACTTCCTTTTTGTGTTTAATCTCTCCAAGGATGTCCCTGGCAAGCCAATCTGGTCGCCTACCATATTTGCTTTTCTTTCTGTGCATCAGGATGGTTTCTTCCTGTGCCTTTACCACTTGCACTTCAAATTCCTTGATCCGTCTTCCCAGCTCTACATAATCTGCTGTGACCCACTCAAGGTCATCCTTGGACATATCGTTAGTTCCTACATGGAGAAGCAGGAAGGGGTAGCGATCCAAAGGCTTGATCAGTTTTGGAAGACTCTTGGTCACATCTTAAATGCGAGCTCCCGGTAAGCAGCACACTTTGAGATTGCAGGTCTGGACAGCAGATGGATGAGATAATCCCTCTTAGGGAGTCCCTAACCACCATCCCCACCCATCTTCTTCTTTTTGGGGGGGGAAGAAGGTGGTCATGGAACCCTCATCCTTAGGGCTATGTATCCCATGCCTTCCAGTTGATGGTTTTCCCTTCCGACTTCTTCCCCGAGAGGTCCCTGCCAAAGCATTCTCTAGTGCAGTGCCTGTGGAGAGAGCCTGAAAGTGGTTACTTACCTCTACAGGAATGGGGAATGCCTGAGTTGGCCGCCTTCTTCTAGAGGTTACATGCCGCCATTTCTTTTCTTTGTTCCTTACTGCTCTGGCTGGCTATTCAGCCTGCAGGATTAAACTGGACCAATGGAGTTTTACAGTACCACCGGCTCCACTCCTGCAAGGGGCGGGGCCTATGGCAGAAGGGGCGGGGGGGGGGGGGTCGGTCCCCCCAGAGTTATGTGGGCCAGATGCTTTTAATTAAAACCACGGAAAAGGGCTGCTGGGGGGTTGCCTGGCAGCCGCCTGGGGTGGCTGCAGCTATTTAAAGGGTTCACGGCTCCGGCCCCTGCCGGGGCAGCGCTGGAACTTGGAGCCTTGAGCCATTTAAACAGGATCCTGGCGCCTGACCCACCGCCTGGGAATTGGGTGGCTGGGGCAGCAGGATATAAGTAGAAAGTGGCCGGATGCTATCCGTGGGCCGGATCGAAGTGTTCGGAGGGCCGGATTTCGAACTGAGCTATTTGGGGATGTCTACACTACAGCGTTATTTCGAAATATCTAATTTCAAATATGCACAAAATGCGTTTCGAAATAGCGTTTTTCTATTTCGAAATAGCACGTCCACACTGGGTGGACGTTGAATCACATTTAAGGCTGGTTGGAACCAGTTCCGGCAGGGCATCAGATCAGAAATTACCTTGAGGCCAGGGCGGCGAGCAGGGCACCCTAGGAAGGGCTGGAGGTCCCCTATTTCGAAATAAGCATCTGCACAGCGCTTATTTCGAAATAGCAATTTCAAAATCGGCGCTATTCCTCGTGGAATGAGGTTTACCAATTTTGAAATAAGCCCTCCGCTATTTCATTTTAAATGTAACACGACTGCCCTATTATGTCCTGTGAGTTTTTAAAAATTAAACTGAACTGAGAAGTAAATTAGCACAATCCGAAGTGCCTGTCCCAGGCTGCAAATATGAGAGGTTCAAAAACAACAAGGGAGAGACTCAGATCTAAGAGTGATTGCTTCAGCCTCGCAAACAATCTAGCCAGCTTTCTATCTACCTTACAGTCCAGTTATCCAATCCATACTCCCTTACCTTGCTGGCAAGAACATTGTGGGAGACCGTATCAAAAGCCTGGCTAAAGTCAAGGTATATCACATCCACTGACTTCCCCACGTCCACAGAGCCAGTTACCTCATCATAGAAGCTAATCAGATTGGTCAGGCACGACTTGCCCTTCATGAATCCATGCTGACTATTCCTAATCCCTTTCCTCTCTTCCAAGTGCTTTAAAATGGATTCCTTGAGGATCCCCTCCATGATTTTTCCAGGGACTGAGTTAAGGCTGACTGGTCTGTAGTTCCTGGATCATCCTTCTTCTCTTTTTTAAAGATGGGCACTACATTTGCCTTTTTCCAATCATCCAGGATCTCTCCCGATTTCCACGAGTTTTCAAAGATAATAGCCAAAGGCTCCACAATGACATTTGCCAACTCCCTTAGTACCCTCGGAGGCATTAAATCTGGGCCCATGGATTTGTCTGTTTAGCTTTTCTACATAGTTCCTAACCTGTTCTTTCCCCACTGAGGGCTGCCCACCTCTTTCCCATACTGCGTTGCCTAGTGCAGTAGTCGGGGAGCTGACGTTGTCGGTGAAGACGGAGGCAAAGAAAGCATTGAGTACTTCAGCTTTTCCCACATCATCTGTCACTAGGTTACCTCCCTCATCCAGTAAGGGCCCCACATCCTCTCTGATCACCCTCTTATTGCTAATACGCCTGTAGAAACCTTTCTTGTTACCCTTTACATCCCTTGCCAGCTGCAATTCCAGTTGCGCTTTTGCCTTCCTGATAACTCCCCTGCATTCTTGAGCAGGGTATATTTGTACTCCTCCGCCCTAGTCACCAAGTTTCCACTTCTTGTAAACTTCCTTTTTGTGTTTAATCTCTCCAAGGATGTCCCTGGCAAGCCAATCTGGTCGCCTACCATATTTGCTTTTCTTTCTGTGCATCAGGATGGTTTCTTCCTGTGGGGGCAGGGGGGCAGAGTGGCTGGCCGTGAGCAGTCCGGGTGTGCGGCTCAGAAGCAGCAGGAGCCACATTTTTTTTAATCCAAGAGCTGTGTGCGGCTCAGCCACCCTGCTCTAGGTGTGCTTGAGCTCACGGACAGATGCTCATTTCTAAAACAGCGAGAGATGCACGTGCCGCAGTACAGGAGCCTGGGAAACCTACACACCAGGCTGCCCTCGATCTTGCCCACCTAGGCAACAGCATGCACTCATGGTTGTTAAAAGGAAGGTTTTCCCACAATGCAGCGAGGCCCTGAGAAAATGGCAGCTTCCGGGGAGACAGCCAGAGCCACGTTTGGAGTGGGGCTGGCTGCTTTGGGTGGGCAGAGCCCTGCACAGGAACCAAACGTATCCGCGTGATGCGTGAGGGGGCCGGGTCTCCCTCCCTGCCTGCAGCTCCTGGGGCGCGGCGGCTGCTGTCACTGTGTGTGCACAGCTCTGACGTGTTTGGTGGCAGGGCAGACCAGACCCAGCGGTGAGGGGCAGGCTAGCATGGACAGTTGCCCGCTGCATGGCCAGCATGGCGGAGCTAGCTCAAAGCTGTCCTCCAAGCAATGGTTTCCGGGTTCAGCTGTCTGGCATGGGGGAAAATCCAGCCTCTCATCCGTGCCGTGCCCCGCCCCTTCCAGAGGTTTCAGGGGGCTCCAACTGCTTCCTTCGCAGGGCAAGCAGCCACTGGCTGCCAGCGTGTCAGGACTGGACTCGGCTGCGCCGTGGTACAGGATGCTCTGCACCGAGGAGCAGGCACCAGGAGGGCCGCAGCGATGGAGCTGGCAGCAAGGGGCTGTGCCTACTCGCTGGCGAGGACCTACACAGGTAACAGGGAGAGCCGATGCGCTGCTCAGACTCCCAGGGCCCCAGAGCTAGTCCTAGGACACCGGGGGTAGGATTCAGGTGGTGGTAGGAATGCTGGTCTGTGCCTGACGGGGATTCGGGTTGGGACCAGCTTTGGTGGCCGAAGGAAGACCTGACCCTGCTGCTGCAGTTGGGGGAACGGGAGTCTAGGAACACTGATCCCTGATGTGCGCTCCGATGCGCTGCTCAGACTCCCAGGGCCCCAGAGCTAGTCCTAGGACACCGGGGGTAGGATTCAGGTGGTGGTAGGAATGCTGGTCTGTGCCTGACGGGGATTCGGGTTGGGACCAGCTTTGGTGGCCGAAGGAAGACCTGACCCTGCTGCTGCAGTTGGGGGAACGGGAGTCTAGGAACACTGATCCCTGATGTGCGCTTTTCACAGGGACGCTCTCGCTGGAGCATGCGGCCCGGCCAGACGCCTCCTCCGCGAACACCTCCTTGGACCCACACCTGCGGAGGCAGGCAAGTAACAGTCCCGGCGAACTCCCATCAGTCCCCTCCCACTGTCTGTGTTCATGGAACTAGGCGTCTTGGCAGGGACCTGCTAGAGACTAGTGCTCCCAGGGTCAGGTCGCAACGAGGAAGGTCCGTAAACAGTTACTTGCGCCGTGTACATGAGTCCCAGAAGCGTTTTACCCTGAGCAGTGCCCGTGTGGCCAGTGGGCGCCCCCCCCCCAGAGTGGTGCCGGCATATCAGCGCATACAGACCCCCGCTGGCCCTCTTCCCCTCGGTTCCTCTTGCCCCAGGCGGGTGGCTGGAGCGCTCGGCTTGCAGCCCCTTTTATCTTGTCAGTAGTTCTGGGGTAGGTGAGTGGTATCCTAGCTGCTTGTGTGATTATTCACACCCTGTGTGCAGTGCCTGAAGCCTGTGCCCTGCAGAGGTGCACAAGGAGTGCTCGAAGCAGTGGAGGCCTCTGACAGACCCCTCCAGGATCTGCAAGTCCTCCAAACCAAGGCCCAAATGTGAGCGATGCCAGACTCAAGCTGGATTCTGTGTTTCAGCTGGAACTGGCACCGTCCGTGAGGAGTGCCTCCGGGTCGGCATGGGGTACGGGATCCGCGCCAGACACTCCATGGCGTCGGACCGTCAGTTGGCACCTTGGCACCATTCCCAGTCCCTGGTGTGGACCGAGTGCTCGCAAGACGGCGTGGAAAGGGAGGTCGCCTTTGAGACAGAACCGGGGGGTTCATCTGCTAGGGGGACACCCCAAGAGTTTCCCGGGCGAGTAGCCCCGAGGTTCAGGATCTGTCAGTGGAAGAGATCCCTTGGCCATCGACCCCGGACACTTTCATTGCGGGCCGGGAGTTGATCGAACTCGCCTCCTCCCTGGGACTGGTACCTTGCGGAGAGGAGCTGCAAGGGACTTAGGTCGGGGCCGACATTGTACGCGGCGCCACCTTCCTTACTACCGCTGAGGGACTCTCTACAGTTATTCAAGCATTTAATCGGCATCACAGAACAGCAGAAACCCACAGTAGACAAACTATACCTTTAACAAGTTTTATTGCAAGCAATTCTGGAGCAGTTTTAAAAGTGTGTGTGTGTGTGTGTGTGTGTGTGTGTGTGTGTGTGTGTGTGTGTGTGTGTGAAATCTAGTAATTAAAAGAAATATTTAAATGGAATAATTAACAGTTTAAACTCACACACACACACATATTCCACTTAGCCTCTGGGGCTGGCCAGACCCCAGGTAATGTTGAAGTCCGACATGCATGTCACCCCAATATGCCGAATGGATGGACTTGGCTCTGTAGGGGAAATTGGTGTGGTATATAACCCCTCGGGGGAGGGAAAATCAGTCCATATGGAGTGATATCCATTGCTTACACAGTCTGGGTTCGGGTGGGGTGATGTCCGTAGGAAGAACTAGAGGACACCAAATGAAATTAATGGGGAGCAGGTTTAAAACTAATAAAAGAAAGTTCTTCTTCACACAGCATGTAGTCAACCTGTGGAACTCCTTGCCAGAGGAGGCTGTGAAGGCTAGGACTATAATAGAGTTTAAAGAGAAGCTGGATAAATTCATGGAGGTTAGGTCCATAAAAGGCTATTAGCCAGGGGATAAAATGGTGTCCTTGGCCTCTGTTTGTCAGAGGCTGGAGAGAGATAGCAGGAGACAAATTGCTTGATCATTGTCTTCTGTCCACCCCCTCTGGGGCACCTGGTGCTGGCCACTGTGGGCAGACAGGCTACTGGGCTAGATGGACCTTTGGTCTGACCCAGTACGGCCGTTCTTATGTTCTTATGCACACCCCTTTCCCCGGCGGGTGTTCTCACGACCGATCTTGGGACTTCCTGTTTACACCACCCAATTCTGAAACAACAGAATGTCCTTGACTAGGTCTCTCCCTTGTTACTCCTTTTCTGGGAGCATTGCCGCCTCCTTCTGTACCGTTTTGTCTCCTCAGCGCGCGCACAGTTTTTTCTTTCACACAGTCCTTTCTCTCAAAGTTGTCAACAAGTCCATAGTCCGGCGGAGCTCTTGCCTGGACCTCAGCATGGCCGGTTAATTCACTCCCGCTCCCCATGATTCGGGACACACCTAAGTGGAATGGACATGAGCAGCACATGTGGAAGAACAGTTGCCATTTGTTAGGATGCCAGGCTAGCTTCCCTGGATGCCTCCTTGATTTATGGGAAGCCCAGTTTTGGGATCAAACTCTGAGGTAATTGAGCAAACCCATGTCACTCTGGAAGAGCAATTGGATCACAGCCTGGCACGTGAATGGTGTTGCTTAGAAGGTGCTGAATCTGTAGAGCAATGCTCCACCTAGGGACACGTAACTCTGCAGTGCTACAGTTTATCTGGCTCCAAGGCTGGTCAGTCCACCCATCGAGAAATGCTTCCTTTGTTTGAAACCTGCTACTTGGTGGCCCCTACTTCCTATGGGAGCAAGTAAAGAACTAGTCACTTTCTCCATACCTTTCATGATTTTATAGACCTGCATCCTGTCTTCCTAAATGGAAGAGTCCCCATCTTGCTAATGTCTCCTCTCCTCATATGACAGCTGGTGCAAACGCCTTGCTTTCTGAACTTTTCCCAGTGCCAGTAGATCTTTTTTGAGATGAGGCGACCACATCTGTACGCAGTCTGCTTTTTGTTTGTAATACTAGCATTCCAGGCCCTGGCTCCAGAAGGTACCTCTGCCACTTGTACCAGGACACAATAGAAATGTATTTGGAATCTGCTTATGGCAAAGACCAAGAGGTAAAGTCCATCAATGTCTATTATCCAGGCTGGGTAAGGAATGGTGTCCCCAGCCTCTGTCTGTCAGAGGGTGGAGATGGATGGCAGGAGAGAGATGGCTTGATCATTCCCTGTTCGGTTCACTCCCTCTGGGGCACCTGGCATTGGCCACTGTGGGCAGACAGGACACTGGGCTGGATGGGCCCTGGGTCTGACCCCGTCTGGCCAGACCAAAGTACGTACTATTCAATTTAATGTAGGCTATAGCTTAGCTTGGGGGGGGATGGTACACAAGTGAAGTTAAGAAAACATGGGATATTTATAGGATGACCAGGCAATACACCATGTTTGAGTGTATAGAATGGCAAACTAGTTAGTATATGAATATATAGACACACGCACACACCCAGACTGTGCGCGATCTTGCACAAAAACATGCTGCCTGCCTACATGGGTGAGGAGTCCTTGTGCAAGATCACTGACGTTCTAATGTATGAAGTCAGGGCTGCTTGCACAAGAACGATGATGCTCCCGCTCAGGAATAAGCCCTCTTGCGCAAGAGGCCAGTGTAGACAGGCAACATGAATTTCTTGCACAAGAAAGCGTCTACAGTGGCACGGATGCTCTTGCACAAAGGCACGTGCCAATGTAGATGTAGCCCTATTGTTTTACGGTTTGTGGACTGATTCTGGGCAGAGGAGCGGGGGTTTATTGGCCTACACCAATACTTTGGCAGGCAAAACAGTGTTCTATAAAGTGGGCTTTGGGGTTTTTGTGTGAAGCTGATTTTGATCAGAAATACTCTTTTAATTGCTCAGTGCTGGCTTTGATTTCTTAACTGTTACACTGCGGAGCCAGTGAAGAGCAGGGTGTTAGCGGCTTAACGAAAGGCCAGGGGGGCGGGCATGGGAACCCTGCCTATGTGCTCTGCCTGCCCTGAATGCTGGGGCTGGTCACTGCCATGACGTGACAACTACCTGCAGTGCCAGAGCACCAGCCCAGCACTGGGGCCTGCCAACATGTTTGACACGTTCAATGGGAGGAGGCGGGGCGGTGTGTGCCAGCCTCAGGGAAGGAAATGCCCGAGGGGCTCGCCAGGCAGCAGTGATGGGAGGAAGCCGTGTGAGTCAATCGTTTGCAACCAGGGGCCGGCGGCGGCACGAGTCCAGGCTCCGCCCCGTGGCGCAGCGCGCAATGACGTCGGCAAGCTCGCAATTCGCATTTCAGCGCTGTCTGTGGCCAAGCCAGTCGCGTGTTCGCGAAGAATCATTTCTTCCCCTTTGGAGTTTGCAGAGAGGCTGGTTTTGTCACATTTGTAGGATGAATTTTAAGGAGGCTTTTTAGGCGTCTGTGTTGGATTTTTTTAGCAGTTTCAAAATGTGGCTCGTGTTGTTCGTAGGAATCGATGAGGAGGATTGGATTGTTCAGCTGAAGTTGCGGTGAGCAGTGCTTTATCCTTGTCGTAAAAGCCGTGCTCGTGACACGGTGCGTAGCGACGCGGTTTCTGAGCAGCCGCCAATTCGCATTTCAGCGCCGTCTGCGGCCAAGCCAGTCGCGTGTTCGCGAGGGGTCGTTCCTTCCCCTTTGGAGTTTGCAGAGAGGCTGGTTTTGTCACATTCGTAGGATGAATTTTAAGGAGGCTTTTTAGGCGTCTGTGTTGGATTTTTTTAGCAGTTTCAAAATGTGGCTCGTGTTGTTCGTAGGAATCGATGAGGAGGATTGGATTGTTCAGCTGAAGTTGCGGTGAGCAGTGCTTTATGCAGATTTTTGGAAATGTCTTTAGTTCCTGATTGATGCAAGCAGCTTAATTTGCGACACGTGTATTTCTTTCCCTGTGGTGTTTGGATCAATACTAGACGAAGGGGGTTAAGGCGATTTACTATGGAATGGGGGCAAGTGATTTTAACTGGAACGTGTAGATTGAGAACGTGAATTGTTACTAGGATTTTTACGCCGGGAGCGTTGGTAGGGACGGGCGTTGTCAAGAAGGCTTTTGCGTGTTGCTGATGTGTTTGGTGGGTGATAATATTCAGACCTGTCCTTTGAGGCGGTGGGAGTTGGGCTTTTTTAGGTTTTTAACCGAGAGCCCAAACTGTCTTTGGCAGCTTTTCTGTTTGTGTTTTAGTGTTTTAACTAGGAAGATCCCTAGGAGAAGACACATGACTTTTGGCGGGGGTGGGTTTTTTGGTTGGCTTTGTGCTGCATGAATATGTTTTCGATGAGACGAGGGCAGCGGTTCTCAAAGCACGGGCCCAGTGGCCCATGGCTGCCTCCCAGGTGGTCTGCGGCAAGAGCTTCCCCTCCAACCTCCAACCTGCCCCCTCCCCTTCCCTCCAATCTGCAGCCGCGCGGTTGTAGCCCCAGCTCCGGCCAGCTGGCAGGGAAGTGAAAGAAAGCAAAACACCCTCCCTGCATGTGGGCCGCAGAGCTACACGGGGAGGTGCGTGGCCGCCATGGGATGGTCCCACAGGGCAGGCAGCATGTTGGGCTGTGTAGGACGGAGTCTCGTGGCGTGCGAGGGGCCGGGTGTTACGGGGGTGTCCGTGTCTCATGACCTCTGGCACGCTTGGCTCTTGCAAGCCCCCTTACTAATGTCTCCTCCCTAGGAGAAGACACACGACTTTTGGCGGGGCTGGGTTTTTTGGTTGTGTCCGTGTCTCACGGCCTCCGGCACGCTTGGCTCTTGCAAGCCCCCTTCTTTCTCCTGCACCTCTTCGCGTCCTGCCGGATGCCGCCCATCCCACCGCTGCCACCACCGTCACGGCGCGTCGGGGAGCCCCGACCCTACAGCCCAGAGGCGACGCTCCGCTGGCAGGTGGAACAGAAGGTTTCTTGGTTTCTGCACCCCGGCCCTGTCGGGGAGATCCTCAGGGCACCTCCCAGTGTGTAGGCAGCAGGGGGGCAGGTACTCGGCCCAGTCCTGCGGGTGTCGGTGCATAAAGGCCTCCAGCATGTTCTTCAGGGTCCCCGGGCACCTCCCCACCAGCCCGCTGGGCCGGGCGCCAGGACAAATTCTGCAGCAGCCTCAGCCGGATGCACCGATCCCCAGGGGCCCCGCGAGTGGGACGGCATGGCCAGGTGGAGCAGCTTGCGGCGATACTATTGGGGACCTCCACGTCCCCACCTTCCCTGGGGGGAGCCGTTCCCGGGACAGGAATCCCCGCTCCCTCCTGGCAACCTCCCCCAGGGGCTGAGCTGCGCCGGCCAGTCCGGTCCCTCGGCCTCTGCAAGGAGGGGTCTGCAATTCAGACCTGTCCCACACCCTTGCCTAGGTCCGGAGACCCAGCCTGGCTGGACCCCGTGTCCCCTGGGATGGGGCCCTGAGCCCTCCCTTGGGTCTGGGTCACCAGCCCCTCTCTGGCTCTGGCTCCGGGCACCAGGGTCCTGCGGCGTCCGTCTGGCCACTCCTCTAGGTCGCCCCCCACAGCACCTCCGTGGGCAAGTGCCGGTGACCCCCACTTCCGTGGGGCCCCCCATTTCCGATGAACTCGGGCTACGGGCACCTTGAACGGGTCCCGTCTGTGTCCCTTGGGGTCAGCTGAGCGTTGGGCACCATGCGGTGCCTTCTGGGTAGCGTCATTCACCGAGCCAGAGTCCTGGGAGGGCCCCGGCAGTAAATCCTGACCCGTCCAAAATTGCTGCCGTTGGCTCTAGAGGGGCGTGCGAGCGAG